GGCATGCTCATTTTTTATAAATATTTTTGATTCTTATAACTGTATAAGTTTTGGTATTTATAAGGGTTGTCAATGGTTTTAATAGCAAATTAAATGATGTTTTTATATATATTAGCCTACTAGCTCAATAGATAGAATATTATGCAAATGCACAAAAGATATGGGTTTGAATTCCACGTAGGCTCATTTGTGTAATGTGGAGACGAGAGTTTGTATGAGAGTTAGATGGTAATAATATTTATATAGTCATTAATCATTTCAAGTCAAATTTTTGCTTGTATAACTTAGTGCTAAATTGATTCACTTTTTTTAATTTACTATTTTTTTTATAATACAAGAAAAATATTTAGTTAGAACATAAAAAATAAAAAAAAATTAGAGCATAGGAAACAAAAATAGAACATAGGAAAAAAAATTAGAACATAACATTTAATTATGAATGTTAATATAAAGTTTCAAATATAATTTTTTTTATATACGTACTTTTTATAAATATTTAATTATATAAAAATTAGATCAAATTATTGCATCGGCATGTGTGTGTAAAGTATGACTATGTCAATTATTTTGGGACAAAGGGAGTATAAGTAAATAATTTATATACAGCTTTATTCTCTACATAAGACAAGTGAGAGAGTGACAATTGTCATCTTCATATTGATTTTCTTGTCTTATACATAGTAGTATATTACTAAGTTAGGTCCCGCGCCATGCACGGTAATTTTTAGTAATTATCATTAGTTTCACACTATTATTTAAGTATAAAAAATTATATTTAATTACAAAATAGGATGAAAGTTTAGTAATTACAAAATTGAAAAAAATATATATATTATACTAAAGAAAACAGAAGGAGAAATACATGCACGACTAATAAAAATAGCTATGGATTACATCACAAAGTTATGGATAGGAAATTATTATTGCATAGAATTGTTTAAAGAAAAATTATATCTTTGTTGAATGTGTATAAATGAAATATATATACTTACCAAATAGGAAGAAAAATATTATTATATCGTAAGTATTAAATACTTCTCTAAGAAGCTTTGGCAGCAAAAAAAAAAAAAAAAAAAAAAAAAACAAAAAAAAAAAAACAATTTCGGAGGCAATATTTTTAACCAGGAGATGACATGTGTTATTCCTGGTTTCGCCTTTAGGCCCCATTCACTTCACCTTATTTTGCTGAAATGAAATTTATTTTTACTGAACTAAAATTATTTTTGCTGAACTTAAATTATTTTTACTGAATTTATTGAAATTAATTTTACAGAACTGAAATTATTTTGCTGAACTGAAATTATTTAACTGATTTTTTTATTATATTTCTTCTTTAAGTTTACTGATTTTCATCTGCAATTATTTTTATTGAACTGAAATTATTTTTGCTGAACTGAAATTATTTTTACTGAACTAAATTAATTTTACTGAACTGAAATTATTTTTATTGAATATTATCTTTGTAAGGTCAAGTGAACAAGGCCTAACTATATAGTTATAGACTAACTTAAGTCCCATACAATGCACGTTTTATTTTATTTTATTAAGATTTACAACAATTTATAAATCAACAATTTTTTTTACAAATTATTCTCTTTGAATATGTATGATAAATTTCTATAATTTTTAAAATTTTCTAAATAGTATATTTTACCCAAAATATTGTATGATATACAATATGAATATCTTATATTTGCTTATTTTTTATAAGTAGTTGCTAAAAAACTTATTGATTTAGGAAGAAAACATTGTATGACATTGTAATTCTTTGTTTCTTACTATAAAAGATGTGGAAGATTTGGAATAGGAAGAGATAATTATAGTTGATTAAAAATACTTCCTACGATGCTTTAGCAGCAACAGCAACAGCAACAACAAAATTACATAATTTTTTTTGATACAACGTATAAAATATTAACAAGATTTTGACATGTATTACTTTTATTCATCTTTAGTATATAGGTATAGATAGTATATAGATTTGGGGTAATTTATTGATATTGTTAAATGTCGACCCATCAAAAAATATATTGACACTGATATTCAAGTAGTGGTACAAAAGAAAAAAGAAAAAAAAGTAGTTGCTTGCAAAGTTTAATGTATAAGGTAATTAAGGTAATTGTTCGTAAAAGTTGTAACCTAAAAGGGCTGCGTAGTATTAGGACGAATTTTTTTTTTTTTGAAACCTAAAAATAAATAAATAAATAATAACTTGTCCTAATACTACGTACCTAGACCTTTTATTAGGACGAGTTATTTAATTAGTCTCAAAACAACACATTTGACCAGTGGTGGATTAAAAATAAAATATTTAACGGGATTAAAATATATTTGATAATTTTAAAGGGATCATTTGATTAAAAATATAAGCAATTTTTAAGAAAAAAAATAATTTGATAAGAATTTAAATTTTTTAATATTCAAGTGGGGTCTAGGGACTCCACTTAATACACGTAATGTATGATATTAAAAATACGATATCATTAATTTAAATAATATTATACACATAATGTATGATATTAGAAATACGATATCATTGATTTGAATAATATTATACATATGATGTATGATATTAGAAATACGATATCATTGATTTAAATAATATCATTCGCGATTACATTTGACGACTTCAAATTTTCTCCAAGTTTAATGTTGCCTCGGTTTACATAATTTTATATGCATACTAGTTTTGTTCCTAGGTGGATTGTTGATAAAAAATTCAGGATAAATTTTTTGCTTGAATGTTAAATAATCTTATCCCATTGCATACGAAGAACATACTCTTTAAAGGGCATATATATAATCCCTTTTGATAATATATGATATTAGAAATACGATATCATTGATTTAAATAATATTATACTTTTTGTTATTTTATTAGTAAATTAGAAAGATTAGGAAGTAACTATCATAGAGATCTTTATTAGAAAAAAATATTCTTTTAAATCAAATAGAGTATAATACATGTAATACTCATAGTTTTTTTAGGATCTACGTACATAATTATAGCTCATATAAGGTTGAGAATTGTGCATTTATCATTATTGTTTTTACGTAGTTAAAACATATCTTGGATATTTAGAAAAATGATTTTGGTATAATTTTTTTTCACATTTGTAAAAATGATATAAGTACTTATAAATGGATAAAACATATCATATATCCCAATGCAAGGTATGAAAACCAGGTTGAGGGTAGGAAATGGGTTTGACTTGTATAAAAGAAGAATACAACATAACTATAACAAACTCAAAGAATTAACATTTAAAATTCAATCCCATGCAACCACGTCTCTTTAGAAGATAAACGTATAATATTGATTACCACGCAAAGGCAAGAATCATTTATAACTTGAAGATGTTATTATAATGTAGCCCTACTTTAGTAGAAATCTAGCCTTTTGAAGAATAGTATATCAACAAATTGGTAATGAAGTTTTAAGAGGCAGGTGATAAACGAATCATTCAAATCAAAATTTTGACTAGAATAATCCTTTTGAATTTTTTTTTTTGTAGTAATAAGCAATTAAGTGTGGTTTAAAGTCCAATTAAAAAAATTAGTATGTTTGGTTATATACAGCTATATATGTTGTCTATCACTTTTGGATATATTTAGTCATTCCTCATAATAATTAAAGAAGAGAAGAAAAAAAAAGAAACTGATATGTTTTGAACCATTGTAGAAGCTAATATGTTTAAACTTTAGTGAGATGCAAGCCAAATAGAATCCAAACTTGTTAAAACATTAGGAAGATACTATCTCCGTTGTGTTTTAATTAAGTTGACACATTTCTTTTATCACGCTTGTTACCGCACTATTTTAACAATTAATACATAAAAGCTAGTTAAAGTATAGTTTGTGAATAGTGTAAAAGTAAAAATGATGTCAACTAAAAAAACAAAAATAAATAGAGAAAGTATATATATATATATATATATATATATATATATATATATATATATATATATATATATATATATATATAAAAATTAAATGAGTATACTAAAGTAGAAAATCAGAAAATTTATTGGGTAACAAGGTACTTTTTTTTTTTTTTTTTTTTTTGAACGAAAAACAGTTAATATATTAATTCATAGAAAGGGAGTCCAACATGACATACGAGGAAATTTCATCCAGAACGGATTTTCCTATAATTGTTCTTGACTAAATGACACTAACCTCGCTAAATGGTGGGCCACGAAATTCCCATCCCGTTTTACATGAGACCAAGTAATAGAAGAAAGACCCGAACTAACAAAAGCAATATCTTCCAGCACATTATCGACAACCGCTAAAGAAAAGGTTTTCTTCTTTAGCTTGGTAACCATCACCAGAGAGTCAGCCTCAAGGATGATATCACTTAAGCCTTGCTCTATTGCCTTCTTTATCCCAAACCAAGTTGCTTTGCTTTCGGCAATCAAAGGATCCCATCTGGCTCTATGTCTGCTGACTGCCGAGAATAGGACACTACCCGTACAATCACGAGCAACAACACCCAGCCCTATCCATCCATCATCAGAGATCGCCGCGTCAACATTTACCTTCACTAGACCAGGTGCGGGGGGTTCCCATATCTGTCTGCTAGCAAAAGCGGTGGGAGGAGAGGTTCCCCCATAAATCCTTTCAGAGTACTCACCAAAATTTACAACAAGTCTGCTGTGCCTGTGCAAGAGAGCCTCATCCGGATCCCACTCCTTCTCAAAAACCCATCTATTGCGACGAAACCATATAAACCAAATAAGGAACAAGCTCCTTTGATACAACTCAGTTGAGAGGTTTTTTTCCCAATTGAGTATTACCTCTCCAAAAGAGTTCGATGAGACAAGGGAGAGGGCATCCTGGCAGCCACTTCTCAACCATAATTGATGCGAGCTAGGACATAGGATTGTGGCATGTATAACCGTCTCATTAGCTGAACTACAGCAAGGGCATCGAGGGTCCTCGACCAGGTGTCTATATTGCAGAAGGCTTCGAGAGGGCAATGTATTAGAACAGCACCTTCAGAGGAAGTGTCTGACTTTTGGTGTGACTTTAGCCTTCCATATTTCAACCCAATAATGATCAAAATTATCAAGGTCAAGAGACTTACCAAGTGTGTAGGCTGATTTCACACTATAGTGTCCATCCTTGGACCATACCCAAGTGAGGGTGTCATCCGTCAATCGTTCACTTAACGGGATAGCCATAATAGCGTGCTTATCTCGATCATTAAAAATGCCTTCGATTTTCTGCAAGTCCCAGGTATAATTCTCCTTATCAATGATCTCTTCGACATATTGACAAAGCTCATTATTCTCATTGGTGGTAGCAAAGCGACTTTCATCATCGATGAGCCAAGGGTCGGACCAAATTTTAATGTTCCGGCCATTACCCACTCTCCATAGCATGCCCTCCTTCACAAGCGCCTTTGAACTCCATAAGCTTTTCCATGAGTAGCTTGACAATGGACCTAAAGCTGCCTCTAAAATAGACGTTCGGGGGTAGTATTTTGCCTTGAGAACTCGGCTTACCCGGGAACTCTCATGTGTTGCTAGGCGCCACAATTTCTTTCCCAGGAGGGCTATATTAAAAACTCCCAAGTCTCTGAAGCCCATACCTCCTAGGCATTTAGGTTGGCATAAGGAACTCCAGTTCTTCCAATGGATCTTTCTACCCTTCTCGTTCGAACCCCACCAGAACCGAGCCATCATAGCATGAATATCTTGGATAAGGGCAATTGGGAATCTATACACACCAATCAAGTAAGTTGGGATAGCTTGGAATACGGACTTGAGAAGGATTTCTCCTTCCAACCTTGAACCTTCTTCCAGATTCGATCCTTCACTAAAGTGAAAATCGCTTTTTTTTATCGTCCTACCTCGGTTGGCAAACCGAGATATTTGGTGTGATTATCAACCATTTCCATTCCAAGAATCGAGCTAAGAGTGACCCGAGATGATAATTGGACCCCTTTGTTAAAAGACACCTCCGACTTGTCTAAATTGATTTTTTGCCCGGAAGTTGCTTCGTATTTGTTGAGTATGTCAACAATGACAGAACATTCCTGCTGGGTGGCTCTAGCACATAAAAGACTATCATCTGCAAAAAACAGGTGAGTAATCTCTGGGCCATTTATACTAGCCCGGGCTCCATGAATAAGATTTTTCTCCGAAGCCGCCTGTAACATTCTTGATAAAACATCAGCAATTAGAATGAACAGGTAGGGGGAGATAGGATCACCTTGGCGGAGACCTCTGGACGGAGTCAGAAGATCTGAAGGAATACCGTTGATAATAAAAGAGTATCGCACTGTGGAAACAAAGGACATAATAGTGTCAACCCAGGCTCCAGCAAACCCCAGCTTGGTCAAAAGTCTTCTCAGGAACTCCTACTCCACCCTGTCATACGCCTTACTCATATCCAACTTCATAGCAGTCAACCCACTACGGCTTTTAGATCTCTTCTTCATAGTATGGAATAGTTCAAGAGCAATCAAGGCATTATCTGTAATCAAACGTTTTGGGACAAAAGCGCTTTGATTTTTTGTAACCATTGCGTTAAGGAAGGGTTTTAATCTGTTTTCCACAGATTTTGAGGCTAATTTGTAGAGTACGTTGCAAAGGGAAATAGGCCGGAATTGGGAGATGCAGGTAGGGCTCTGAACTTTCGGTATCAAGGCTACATTAGTGATATTTATGTTATCCATAGGGACTCTTCTCAGAATTATGTCATTAACAAACTTTGTAACATCATCCCCTACAATGTTCCAGAATTTATGGTAAAAGATAGCATGGAGACAGTCTGGTCTAGGGGCCTTACAAGGACCCATCTGAGAGAGAGCAATGTATACTTCCTCTTTAAGATAAGGCCGACACAGGGAGGAGTTCATACTATTTGTAATCATGGTTGGGACACTGGCCAAGACTTCCTCCATCAACTGAACGTTCAGTTCGCCTTTAGCAATAAAACCCTATAAAAATCAAGAACAATATTCTCCACATTGGCCTTCCCTGAGCGCCACTCACCCTCACTATTATTAAGGCCTTTGATGTAATTTTTGCTTCTCCTTTGGGCTGCTTTATGGTGAAAGTATTTTGTGTTACGATCACCATCCTTGATTTCCGACACTCTTGAACGAAGAAACCAATAAGCTTCATTATTTTCATGGAGATCATCGAGAATACTCTCCAGCTTATTGCATTCGGCAAACTGGACTTGAGACCTCGCCTTCTTCTAGGCTTCCTTCAACATCTCCTCTGTCTCATTAATTTTCTCACCTAGATTGTCAAAAGCATTCTTACTCCACTTGGTTAAGTCATGAGCAATATGCAGGAGCTTGTTTGGCATATCTAGATGGCAAGAATTAGCCTAGGAGCTCTTGACAGCCTCCTCAATGCCATCTTCTAGCAACCAGCAAGTTTTGAATCGAAACTTTTTCCCTCTTTGAAGTCTTCTTCTTACCCCTCTTTGTCTCCGTATCCAACATGATGCCCACATGGTCCGATTGAAATTTAGTTAAGTGAGACACAGAGCTTTTGTCAAACCATGAGCACCAACGACAGCAAGCAACGAATCTATCCAGGCGTTCCCTTACAACACTGTTAAGGCCATTTCCACGTTCCCACGTCACCCACGAGCCATCATAGCCCAAATCTCTTAGGCTAGAGTCATCAAGCACGCCTCTAAAGGCATCCATATCTCTTTGATCTCTCAAAGCTCCTCCTAACTTCTCATTAGTACTAAGGATCTCGTTGAAGTCACCTCCAAACACAATGGGGTAAGGGGATGCTAGGTAGAGTTCGCGCATTAAAGTCCATGTTTTATGTTTCAATGCCCTGTCCGCCCACTCATACACTCCAACAAACCTCCAAATCCGCCCCCCCTCTTTAGTGATATCCCCACAAATATGGTGATCCGAGTAAGAGACTAAAGAGAAGTGAACCCCATCCTTCCGGAACATACAAAGGCCCCCCCTGATTTACCCCTACTATCCACACCAAAATACCTAGTAAAACCAAACTTATTTTTTAATTTTTCCGAGCAATTTCTGTTAATCATAGTTTCACACAGGATAACTACATCCGGGCTCAAACTACTACTCCAGTGACGGAGTGCTCGAATTGCGCGAGGGTTGCCCGTCCCTCGGCAATTCCAACAGATAATTTTCATTCCTGTTTGGGGGGTTGGTTCACTCCAACACCCCCCTACTTGACTTGCTACTTCCCCTAAAGAAGAGACTGAAGCGACTTTGTGTTTCTTAGTGAATTTCTGGAACTCAGGACTCATGTCCTCACAGTAGGAAGATTCTAGACTTCTCTTCGATGCACCCCCTCTAAATATTACATCACTATCCTTCGCATTACTTTCTCCTTCCTTAACACTTCTCCTTCTCCTAACAATACGTTTTTGACTGGCTGGTTTGACAGGTAGATCATGCTCCATCTCAACAACATCTTGAATTGTAGTAGGACTCACATAAGTACCTTGCTCATCATCGTTGGGATCAGCTCCCTGCCCTTCAATCACATCATCTTCTTTAGGCTCTTCAACTAGGCTTTTGATTCGTAAGACAGTTTTGGAGGTCTCAGGGTCCACCACACTAACAAGCATGACCTCTTTTGCCTTAGGGGGTGGGAAATACAACTTACGTGCAATCCCTGGGGGTCCAAGCTTAACAGTCCCTGGATCATTATAGCGTGGGATGTGATCCTTCTTCGTCGAAAGTAGCCCCTCCTTCCATCTCCTCTCCTTCGCAATTTCAGCCTCAGACTTCTTAGGGAATTTCCTAGGGGATTTCGAAGCCAAGGGCCGTATTGAAAAACAATCTCCTCGCTCCCTTCCTTTATCTCATCCTTATAATCGCAACCACCTTCAGTGTGATCTAGCCTCCCACAGAAGAAACAAAAGTCCTCTAATCTTTCGGATTTTATGGAAATCCACTTCGATGTCGAAAAACCAGTAGCCAGAAAAAGACCCCTACGCAGCGGTTTATCAATGTCAAACATGACCTTCATCCGCATAAATTCTCCCCAACCCAACGGATCATCCTCATCAAGTTCCAGGAAAACACCCAAAGAATCACCGATTTCTATTAGGTTATTTCTGTTTCGCTTATTGAAAGGAACATCCAAAAGCGTAATCCACAGGGGAGCATACTTGAAAGCAACTTCCGATGGTTGTTCATCACCATCTACCTCCTTGAGAATAAGAAGTTTTCCATCAAAGAACCACGGGCATCCATCAAGAACTTTCTCTCTATCAGTATCCCTAATAACCTGAAAAACAAAAAGATTTGTCTCCACCATCCGTATCATTACCTTATCATGCAGTCTCCAAACCGATGTTAATGTTCGCTTCATCGCCTCCGCATTAAAGGGTTTTGTAGTTAGGAGCTTTCCTACCAGGGATAGAGCAATTTGATTCTTCGAGCCTTCATCCTCCGTCTCAATCGAACCTTGCCAATTACCTTCGATTCCTCTTTAGTCAATCTAATTCTCTCGAAATCATCTATTAATTCATCGGCCATAGTGAAAATTAAGAGGCAAGAGTGAAATTTGTGGAGAGATTTGTGAATTTAATGGGAAATTGGGTGTAATCAAACGGAAACTGTCAACCCTAGACAAGGGACAAACCAACCCTAGACGAGGGACTCATCCTCAAAGACCAAGTTAATACAAGGTACTTATTTAATTACATAATTTAGGGAATGTTCTTATAATCTTATAAACATATAATATTGATTCCCACGCAAAGGCAAGAATTATTAATATCTTGAAGGTGTTATTATAATGTAGCCCTACTTTAGAAGAAAGCTAGCTTTATGAAGAATAGTACATCAATAATTTGGTAATGAAGTTTACAAAATATAGCATATTATAGTATGTAAGGCATCACAAATTATACTTACCGTCTCATTGACACATTTCACTTGAAAGAAAACATAATACATCCTCCATCCTCAACATCGACAAAATTTACAATGTTCACATACATGAACATAACTCTTTTGGCCGTCTTTTGTAATTTATATGTTAGAAAATATAAAATTATGTGGGATCTTGTCAGATTTATCTTGATTTATACTTCAAAGTATCAACTTTTTTTTTCCCCTGCTACAATAAATATAAAGATATTAATGACATATATAAATAGTGAACTGATAAGTGTAAAACTCCAATGTTGTAGTTAAAAAAGAATGGAGGAAGTATTTTATTTTCATTTCACTCAGCTTTCTAGTTTCTGCTCACATAAAAAAACCTTGTTTTACAAGGAAAAAATCACATTAATAATTCCAACTTTAAGGGATTTACCTACTTGGGATATGATTATATTCTAATAATCCCACCTTTAATTTAATTTGCTACAGTTTGCCTCTAGCACCCCAAATGACCAATTACCTAATGAATGGGTACTTTTTTTTTTATTATATTAATGCCACGTGTTGCAATTCAAAAAAAAAAATTAAAAAATAGAAATTAAAAAAAAAACAGAAAAAAAACTAACCTACCTTTCCCTACCACCACTCCCTCCCCTTGCCCCACCGTTAAACTCAATACCCAACCCCTCCGCCCCTTTTCCCACCGTGTAAACCGCCTCCACCCCTCCCTTTCCCTACTGGTACACCCACAACCCCATCCCAAACCAACTCCCCCCCACCCCTCCCCAACCCAGAACCCTAACACCACCCCCTCCACGACACCGTTCGAAA